CACAATCATGGCTCACTGCAACCTCAACCTCCCAGGCTCAAGTAATCCTCCTATCTCAGCCTCTCAATGTGCTGGGACCAGAGGCATGTGCCACCATGCTAATCACTTTTTTTTTTTTAAGAGTTGTGGTCTTGCTATGTTGCCCAGGCTGGTCTCAAACTCCTAAGCTCAAGCCATTCTCCTGCCTGGGCCTTCTGAAGTGCTAGGATTACAGATGTGAGCCACTGTACTTGGCCAAGAAATTTTTTAAAAATCATGATCTTCTACTACTCAACATAATCATTTTTTTTCTCATCACAAATGTATTTATTTATTTACTTAATTCTGGGTGAAATTCTCATTTATTTTTAAAGCTTCTATTTTGGGTTCAGGGCTATATATGCAGACTCGTTATAGAGGTAAACTCATGTCACAGGGGTTTGTTGTACAGATTATTTTGACACTCAGGTACTAAGCCCAGTACTCAATAGTTATTTTTTCTGACCCTCTCCCTCCTCCCTCCCTCCACATGCAAGTAGGCCCCAGTGTCTGTTGTTCCCCTCTTTGTGTTTATGTGTTCTCATCACTTAACTCCCACTCAGAGGTGAGAATATATGTGGTATTTGATTTACTGTTCCTGTGTTAGTTTGCTTAGAATAATGGTCTCCATCCAGTTCCATTCATTTTCTGGCTAAATGACACGATCTCACGCTTTTGTCTGTGAGACAAGGTCTCACTTTTTTACCTTGGCTAGAGAACAGTGGCGTGGTCATGGCTCACTGCAGCCCTGACTTCCTGGGCCCAAGCCATTCATCCACCTCAACCTCCCATGTAGCTGGATGTGGTGCCATGCTGCTCAGGCTGGCCTTGAACTCCTGGGCTCAAATGATCTGCCTGCCTTGGCCTCTCAAAGGGCTGGGATTACAGGTGTGAGCCACCACCCCCAGCTGATCGAATTCTTTTTCATGGCTGCATAGTATTTCACGGTGTATGTGTATTACATTTTCTTTCCTTTTTTATATATATTTTTTGGAGACAGAGTCTCACGCTGTCACCCAGGCTGGAGTGTAATGGCACAATTTCAGCACGCTGCAACCTCACCTCTAGGATTCAAGCCTCAACCTCCTGTGTAGCTGGGATTCAGATGTACACCACCATGCCCAACTAATTTCTGTATTTTTAGTAGAGATGAGGTTTTGCCATGTTGGCCAGAGAACTCTCGGTCTCATGTGACCCACCTGGCTTGGCCTCCCAGAGTGCTGGGATTACAGGCATGAGCCACCACACCTGGCCATACCATACTGTCTTTATTCAATCTGTCACTGATGCGCATTTAGGTTGATTCCACGTCTTTGCTATTGTGAATGGTGTTGTAACGAACATGCATGTGTCTTTATGGGAGAATAATTTGTATTCCTTTGGTTATATACCCAGTAATGGGATTGGTAGGTAGAATGGTAGTTCCGTTTTTGGCTTTATGAGGATTTACAACACTGCTTTCCACAATGGTTGAACTAATTTATATTCCCACCAACAGTGTATAAATGTTTTCTTTTCTCTGTAACCTCACCAGAATCTGTTACTTTTTAACTTTTTAATAATAGCTATTCTGACTGAGGTGAGATGGTATCTCATTGTGGTTTTGATTTGCATTTCTCTAATAATCAGTGTTATTGAGTTTTTTTCATATTCTTGTTGACCGAGTGTATATCTTCTTCTGAAAAGCATCTGTTCATGTCCTTTGCCCACTTTTTTTTTCTTTTTTTCTTTTTTTTTTTGAGATGGAGTCTTGCTCTGTTGCCTAGGCTGGAATGTAGTGGCGCAATATTGGCTACTGCAACCTCTGCCCCCTAGGTTCAAGTGATTCCCGTGCCTCAGCTTTCCAAATAGCTGGAATTACAGGCATACACCACCACATCCAGCTAAATTTTTTTTCGTAGAGATGGGTTTCACCATGTTGGCCAGGCTGGTCTCGAACTCCTGACCTCAAGTGATCCGCCTGCCTTGGCCTCTCAAAGTACTGAGATTACAGGCAGGAGCCACTGTGCCCATTTATTGCCCACTCTTTAATGGGGTTTGTTTTTTCCTGTAAATTTGTTTAAATTTCTTATAGATGCTGGATGTTAGATCTTTGTCAGATGCATAGCTTGCAAATATTTTCTCCCATTCTGTAGGGTGTCTATTTACTATATTGATACTTTCTTTCACTGTGAAGAAGTGCTTAAGTTTAATAAGATCCCATTTGCCAATTTTTGTTTTTGCTGCAATTGCTTTTGGCGTTTTCATCATGAAATCTTTCCCGGTTTCTATGTCCAGAATGGTATTATCTAGGTTGTCTTCCAGGATTTTTATAGTTTTGAGTTTTATACTTCAGTATTTAATCCATCTTGTGTTGATTTTTGTACATGGTGTAAAAAACAGGTCTAGTTTCAATCTTCTGCATATGGCTAGCCAGTTCACATAGCACCATGTATTGAACAAGGAGCCCTTGCCTTATTGCTTGTTTTTGTCAGCTTTGCATAGGATCAGATGGTTGTGGGTGTGCAGCCTTATTTCTGGGCTCTCTATGCTGTTTTGTTGGTCTATGTGCCTGTTTTTGTACCAGCACCATGCTGTTTTGGTTATTGTAGCCTTGTAATATAGTTTGAAGTCAGGTAATGTAATGCCTCCATCCTTGTTTTTTGGGTTTTTTTGCTTAAGATTGCTTTGGCTATTTGGGCTATTTGTTTGGTTCCATATGAATTAAATTTTTTTTTTCTAGTTCTGTGAACATTGGTAGTTTGATAGAAATAGCATTGAATCTATAAATTAATTATTTTGGGGAGTATGGCTGTTTTAATATTGATTCTTCCTATCCACGAGCATGAAATGTTTTTTCATTTCTTTATGTCATCTCAGATTTCTTTGAGTGGTGTTTTGTAATTCCCATTGCAAAGATCTTTCATCTCCCTGGTTAGCTGTATTTCTAGGTATTTTATTCTTTTTGTGGCAATCATGAATAAGATTTCATTCCTGATTTGGCTCTAGGCTTGACCATTCTTGGTGTATAAGAACGCTAGTTATTTTTGCACATTAATTTTATATGCCAAAACTTTGCTGAAGTTGTGTATCAGCTGAAGGGGCTTTTGGGCCAACACTATGGGGCTTTCTAGGTATAGAATCACATTATCTGCAAACAAGGATAGTTTGACTTCCTCTCTTCCTATTTGCATGCCCTTCATTTTGTTCTCTTCCCTGATTTCCCTGGCCAGGACTTACAGTACTATGTTGAATAGCAGTGGTGAGAGAGGGCATCCTTGTCTTGTGCTGTTTTTCAAGGGGAATGTTTCCGGCATTTGCCCATTTAGTATGATGTTGACTATGGGTTTGTCATAGATGTCTTTCACTATTTTGAGGTATGTTCCTGGAGTAATTAGTTTATTGAGAGTTTTTAATACAAAGGAGTATTGAATTTTATCAAAAGCCTTTTGTGCATCCATTGAGATAAAAATGTGGCTTTTGTCTTAGTTTTGTTATGTGATTAATCACATTTATTAATTTGCATATGTTAAACCAACCTTGCATCCTGGGGTTGAAGCCTACTTGATTGTGGTGGATTCACTTTTTGATGGGCTGCTGGATTCAGTTTGCAAATATTTTGTTGAGGATTGTTTGCTTCAATGTTCATCAGGGATATTGGCCTGAAGTTTTCTTTTTTTTGTTGTGTCTCTGCCAGGTTTTGGTATCAGGATGATGCCAGCTCATAGAATGAACTGGGGGAGGAGTTCTGCCTCCTACATTTTTGGAATAGTTTCAGTAGGAATGGTACCAGCTCTTCTTTGTACATCTGGTAGAATTTGGCTGTGAATCCGTCAGGTCCTGGGCTTTTTTTTTTTTGGTTGGTAGGCTATTTATTATTGATTCAACTTCAGAGCTCGTTATTGGTCTATTCAGGGAATCAATTTCTTCCTGGTTCAGCACTTGGTGGGGGTATGTATGTGTCCAGGAATTTATGCATCTCTCCTAGGTTTTCTTTTCTTTTTTTTTTTTTTGAGACAGAATCTTTCTCTGTCACCAGGTTAGAGTGCAGTGGCACGATCTTGGCTCACTGCAACCTCTGCCTCCTAGGTTCAAGCAATTCTCCTGCCTCAGCTTCCCGAGTAGCTGGGACTACAGGCATGTGCCACCACACTGTTAATTTTTGTATTTTTAGTAAATATGGGGTTTCACCACGTTGGTCGGGATGGTCTCAATCTCTTGACCTTGTGATCTGCCTGCCACAGCCTCCCAAAGTGCTGGGATTACAGGTGTGAGCCAATATACCCAACCTCTTCTAGGTTTTCTAGTTTGCACACATAGAGTTGTTCATAGTAGTTTCTGATGATTATTTGTATTTCTATGGGGTCAGTGGTAACATCCCCTTGGTCATTTTTGTGGGTGTGACAGAGTCTCTATCTCCTAGGTGGTGCAATCTCTACTCACTGCAATCCCTGCCTTCTTGGTTCAAGTGATTCTTGTGCCCTAGCCTCCTGAGTAGCTGGGACTGCAGGTGCGTGCCATCATGCCCAGCTAATTTTTCTATTTTTAGTAGAGACAGCATTTTACCATGTTGGCCAGGCTTGTCTCAAACTCTTGATCTCAAGCAATCCACCCACCTCAGCTTCCCAAATGCTGGATTACAGGTGTGGGCCACTGCTAATTGTGTTTATTTGGATCTTCTCTCTTTTCTTTATTAGTCTAGCTAGCAGCCAACTCAACCATTTTAATTCAATTATAGCCTTTGCTAAGGTAGAATGCGGTCCTGCCCAAGAGGACATCCACTTTCGGAAGTCTTTGGAAGAAACTGGTCCTCAGGTAGTCTACCTGTGAGAATCTGGGGTGTGTGTGGAGGGTCCTTCAGCCCTCCCCCTCCCCTGGGCCAAAAGGAGATGGCAGAATGGAGATAAGGTGCCTAACAGGTAGATCTTGCAGGGAATAATCTCCCAAATCATCTCAATGCATTGATGAGCCCATGGAAAATGGTTTCTTTCTTGTCTTCGCAGCCACTTATATAAGAAGAATCTCGATGTGACCAAGATCCATAAGGGAAAGCCTCAGCAGCTTCTCAGAGTGGATGAACATGACTTCAGCATGAGGCCCGCCTTCGGAGGTACAACTGTCCTTCCCTGGTGCCAGGTGGGATGTTGGCCCCATGGATGCGAGGTGCTGCTCTGACTTCCTCCAGCAAACCCTTCCTCAGGTGGTGCGATTTTCCCACTCAGGCAGATAAACCCAACTCCACTTCTGAGTCCCTAATTTTCCCAAGGAGAAAAGAGCAGGAAGGAAGTGGGAGAGAGGGCTGTGAACTGAAGAGGGCCCACCAGTGACTAAGCCATTTACATTCACAAAGGACATGGGCCCTGTGGCTGTGAACTTTTTGTCCTACAAAAATACGAGCAGGCAAAGAGAATCAGGACACAAAATTGCTCCTCTGCCACTTTTATATAGAGGAAGAGGCCACGAAAGCAGAAGTGGCCAGGGTCCTCAAAAGTCCTCATGTGGTCCTCCTGCCTCTGCACTATTTTGGCACGTGTGTGTGTCTGGGTGTGGGTGGAATTCCAAACAATGCATTGTAACTTTGTTCCCATGGCTAGCTGGAGTTGACTGTTTTGAGGGAGTCACCCGCTTTCCAATGCAGCAACAACTTAACTCATTACAAAGACTCCTTGCACACCTGTGCCTCAAGGGTGTACACGCCTGCGCCCTCCCCTCCCTGAACCCAATTCTTGGGTTCAGGGAGGGGAGGCATGGCCAGCGGCTGTCTTTCCCAGGAACTAGAGAAATGCAATGGAGAAGGGGGGGGTAAAGTCTTAGTCAGTTCCGGCTGTCATACAAAACACCATAGGCTGGGCGGCTTATAAATGGAAATGGGTTTCTAATGGTTCCAGAGGCCGGAAGTAAGATCAAGGTGCTGACAGGTTCCATGTGTGGCGAGGGCCCACTTTCTATTCATAGACAGTGCCTTCTCACTGTTCCCTCACATAGTGGGTGGGGCAAGGCAGCTCTCTGGGGTGTCTTTTATAAGAGCACTAATCCCACTCATGAGGGCTCCACCCTAAGGATCTCATCACCTTCCAAAGGCCCCACTTCCTAGTACCATCCCATCGCAGGTTAGGATTGCAACATATGCATTTGGCAGGGATGTAAACATTCAGGCCACAGCAGCTGGGAAAGGAGTCAGTCACCTGCTCTGACCAGGCAGGCAGCTTGATAAGAAGACCAGAATGCATGAGATCCCTGGCCCAACTCTTTCCTCTCCTCTTGGGTTAACTGAGGCCCCAGGGATTTCAGCTGATGAACCTTGGCCAAGACAGACCAGGCAGGCAGGCTTCACCTCCTCCTTCATCTCTGTCCTTGATCCTTGTAGGTCCCATCATTCTGGGGCAGCAGAAAGGAGTAGAGATGACCTCCAGGCAGGTCACCAATCCTTTGAGCCTCCATTTGTTTGTTTATAAAATGGGGATAGTAATCCCCACCTAGGGGGTTGTTGTCCAGATTAAACGAGATAATGTATGTAAAGCCCCTGACACACATTCGTTCCTGTCCTCTCTGAAAAACCCAGCTGTCAGACCTTCCTCTTTTGTGACTGTTACGGGATTAAGAAATTAATTTATCCCAGAGGCCTCTGCATTTTAAAAGGCCTCAAAGCCTGCCACTAAATTCCCTGAGCTCTGACACCTGCTAAGCAGGAGAAAAGCCGGGGGCAGATTACAGGCCTGTGACTCATCTCCCTCCCACTCGCAACCCGACTGACGCCCACGGAAGGTCAAGAAGAGGCCACCGTATTTCTGGTAGCTTGAGTTTCCTTGGGGGTTTGTCGTGAGCAATTCTGCCAAGGAATTTTATGAAAATAAAGTTATGCTGAATAAGCAGCTTTAAAATAGCTGCATCTGCTCCAGGAAGTCTAAGCAAGTCATCCCCAAAAGCGGGAACCTCCACTTTTCTTGCACAGCAACAGTTAAGAGTACAGAGGAGCACAGTGGCTAGGAGTCGCAATAACCAACAATAACATGCACGACAACTACCACTTTTTGTTTTTTTGAGATGAAGTTTCACTTTGTCGCCTGGGCTGGAGTGCAGTGGCGCAATCTTGGCTCACTGCAATCTCTGCCTCTTGGGTTCAAGTGATTCTCCTGCCTCAGCCTCCTGAGTAGCTGGGATAACAGGTATGTGCCACCACACTTGGCTAATTTTTAGTAGAGACAGGGCTTTGCTATGTTGGCCAGGTTGGTCTTGAACTCCTGACCTCAAGTAATCTGCCTGATCCGGCCTCACAAAATGCTGGGATTTTTTTTTCTGTTTTAAAATTTTATTTATTTATTTATTTATTTAAACATGGGGTTTCACCATGTTGGTCAGGTTGGTCTTGAACTCCTGACCTCAGGTGATCCACCTGCCTTGGCCTCCAAAGTGCTTGGATTACAGGCGTGAGCCACCGTGCCCGGCCCTAAAATGCTGGGATTATAGTGTGTGCCACTGCACCTGACCACAACTATCGCTTTCATAGTGATTTTTTCTGGGCCAGGCACCATTCTAATCAAGGTACATATATATATGATCTTATTTTAATCCTCTCATCAATTCTATGAGGTAGATATTATTGTCCCCAGATGAGGAAACTGAGGCACAGAGGGGTGAAGTAAATGGCCCAAGTCAGCTGAGGCTTGACCCCCTCCCTTTCTTGTCTCCTAATTGCATGTCTCGATGCAGAGCTGACACATCCATTATGTGGTATAGGCACACTGCCTGGGGCCCACAACAAAATGTTTTGCTTTATCTTAAGAAAAATTTGTAAGCAGAAGTTGTTTTGATATATACTATTAATATGCTCATCATTAAACCAACACAATCATCAAATACACTTTTTAAAATTTTTATAGGGGAAGAGGCCCATGAAGCATAAGTGCCCAGGGTCCTCAAAAGTCATAATGTGGCCCTGCCTCAGTGCAGCCTTTTGCAGGTGTGTGTTGGGTGTGGGTGCTGTTCTGAACAACGTGTTATGCCTTTTTACCCAAGGTTGGTGTTACTGTCAGGAATCTGGGCCATCACCTGGTCAGTACCTTCAGTGTATAGAGGAAGAGCCTGGGGACCCAGGAGTTAGGTGATGGCCACAACAGCCAGGGGCAGAACTTAGGTTTCTTTTGTGACATCAGCTGCAAAACGGAAAGCCTTACGAAAATGTTCCCACCAGGAGCTAGCTCTCAGGAACGGCAGGTGAAATCCTGCCATGTTCCCAGACAGCCTGACTCCAAGCAGAATGCTACGATGCACCACAGTCCCCAGTCAGGCTGCTCCTTCCTCAAGTCAGTTCCAGGAGCAAAGTGGGCTTCTTGTGCTGTGACCATTGCATCTGCTGGGCCCTTCTGCAGGGCCCTCAAGGGCATGGAGGGTCAGGACTGCTCCCTGCCCCTGTCTGGGTAAACTTCTGACCCTGGGGAAGGCCCTGTCTTTGGAAGCAACTAAGGAAAGAGGCGTCACCTGCCGTAGATGTCAAGATCTCAGCCACCACAGCATAGGTGGGGGCCACTCCTCCTTCCTTCCAGCCTCTTCTCCATGGCAGCTGGTCCCCTGGGTACCCCTGATCTCCTGCAGGGCTTTCCTGGATGCCCAGATGTCACTTGGATGAAACAGGGGAGGAGAGCAATAGTGAGGTACCAGGGCTCACTGCCACCATGAGCCCATAAATAAGACACAGAGTTCTGGCCAGCCAGGCAAGATGGGATGATCACAGGAGGGGGATTCCCACTGCTTGTGGCATCAATGATCTTTATCACCTGTACCCTCCAGGAGCACCTGAAGATGGCTTAGAGCCAAGAAGCCTTCCCTGCAGGTGCTCCTGGGTGTCCCCATTTCACCCAGTGCCTCTTGGGCAGGTATCTATGAGAAAGGAGACTGTGCAGACAGCACATAGGTAACTCTGTGCAGGTGACAGAAGATACCTCATTCCCTGGAAGCAGCCCCTGACAGGCTTCTAGTTAGAGGTAGAGCCTGGGCCCAACTCACCCAAAGTGCAGGCCCAGCCTAACACCTCTTTCCAGTAGCGCCTACCACATGAAGCAGGTCATCTGAGCAAAGATGTCTCTCAATAGCCTCAATATTGTGTGGACTATGGCCTTTATTCCCATCTTATTTCTCTAAGAGGGATTCCTGTGGAATGGTGTTTAAAAGTAGTTGAAAGAGGCTGGGCGCTGAGGTGGGTGGATCACTTGAGGCTAGAAGTTCGAGACCAACCTGGCCAACATGGTGAAACCCCATCTCTATTAAAAATACAAAAATTAGCCCGGTGTGGTGGTGCGCGCCTGTAGTCCCAGCTACTTGGGTGGCTGAGGCATGAGAATCACTTGAACTCAGGAGGCGGAAGTTGCAGGGAGCTGAGATTGCACCACTGCACTCCAGCCTGGGTGACAGAGTGAGACTCTGGCTCAAAAACCACAACAACAAAAAATTATCATGCTCAGACTATACCCAAGACCAATTAAATTAGAATCTCTGGGGGTGGGACCAAAACACCATCTTTTTTTTTAAACAAAGTATTTTTTAAAAATTAAAAGTAGTTGATAGAGAGGAATCTGCTTAGGACTAGATACCCCTTGGGTGACCTTTTTAGTCTAAAAAGAGAAAAGATTAAAAATCTGTCAGCTTCCTAATAATCCCATGGATCAGTTGAAACAAAAATACCTTGTCTAAGCAACCAGCTGTTTGATTAGGTAGTGTGCCCTGGTTAGAACCTCCAGAGGCACAGGGTTTCTCCTCTTTCTGTTAGGAGAAATGCTGCAATGCTGATTTTATTTTATTTTATTTATTTGAGACAGGGTCTTGCTCTGTTGCGCAGTCTGGAGTGCAGTGGCAGGATCAGAGCTCACTGCAGCCTCAACTGTTTGGGCTCAGGTGATCTTTCCACTTCAGCCTGCTGAGTAGCTGGGGCTACAGGCGTGCACCAACATGCCGGGCTAATTTCCTGTATTTTGTGTAGAGACAGATTTTTGCCATGTTGCCCAGGCTGGTCCCGAACTCCTGGGTTCAAGCTATCTGCCCACCTTAGCCTCCCAAAGTGCTAGGCATGAGTGTAAGCCACTGTGCTTAGCCCTGATTTTCTTTTAAATTTCATCT